AAAAAAAAAAAAAAAAAAAAGAGTCACATGAAAAGAACTTTGCCATTATCTGTCTATATAAAGACTTGCAGTTTCAGAAAACATATATAAAAGTAATTCTGCCATCTTTCACTCCCATTTGGCTACATAGGTTTTTCTCTATTAAAATACTTACAGAGAAAGTTCACCTAAAGATTCAACTTTCTTGAGATTAAGATGAGCCAACATACAAATCATCAAGACAGAACCAGCCACATTAATTCCTATTGTCTAGCGGTCTTACTTAACCATTATTAAGTAAGAATTGGAAAGGGAAAAAAGTCTAGTAATTAGTGCAATCAAACTTTAGAGGAATGTAAGGGCCTATGCATGCTACTCTGCCACACTAAACAAAATGTAAAAAATCTTTCTTGGTTTAGTTTTGCCTAAAAATACATAAATTCCTAAGAATACTTATTCTAAAATGGACATAACTTATAAAAAACACCAAACATATTTTTCTTTCATAGTAAGAGATGCTAAAATGGAATATGAGCTTCATAGAAATTTAGGACTAGAAGAGTCCACCTAATACAGTATTATCATCATGTAAACGGAACACATGAGGTCTAATAAGGTTAAAAAAAATTGTTCAAAATCAGAGTGCTGGTTAGTAGACAACAGAGATTACCTGAGGTGGTATTACAGGGAAGAAAATATTATATACTAAGAAGTTTTTCTAGTAGTTTAAATGTGCAATAAAATAAAGCTATGTGGATAAACAACATGAACTCAACCAAGATCTAATTCTATGTTTTAAAACACCATTACATTCTAGAATAAACTGCAGGGCCCAAAATATAATCACAGTGACAATTTTAAAATTCACAAAAAACAAATAAAATTAGACATTCAGTTCATCAGTTGAACTACTCAGTGGCAAGACACAGCACAGATATAGACCATTTCCTTTATCGCCGCAAGTTCTACATAGTACTATTCCAGAACATCTTCATAGGGTACATTTTCATTACAATTAAAATATCTGTTTTGTAAATAAAGTTGAAAGACCTGATTTGCAAACTATGGTAAACTGAGTTAAATGCATTTACCTTTCTCTCCCATATCTGTATCTTTCCTCTCCATAATTCCTTTGAGTCAATAACATTTCCGAGATCTTCTAGGGATACAACATTAGCAGAAAGGTATTCCACAATTTTCTGACAATTTCTATAAAAAAAGATTATAATGATTATACACAGGGTATTATATTTTACTTAGACTTAATGATCATGGTTAACAACAAGCCTAAAAGACAAAACTACAAAGTTTATGTTGCTGTTTTTTACTACTATTATTATGGCACATCCATTAAGTCAGTCTTTGAGCTGCCAAATATTCACTGAATTTCAACATGCTCAGGAATTAAGAGTAATTATCTTTAGTACTAAGGATAAAGATAGACTCTCCTCTTACGATCAGCTTTAATGAGTGAGATGTAAGCACATATACACACGTTCAATGTCAGCTCCTTATCTTCAAAAAGAGAAAGAGAACTGCTCTTCTCATTATTCTCATACAGCGTTGTATGGAATTTTATAATAGCACTTATCACACACTATCTTACTGTTAACATTCCTGTTTGTCCTTGCACTTTAATGAAAAAAATCATGTCTGTTCACTTTCTTAAATTTCCAGCATCTACTGCTGTACTTGGTATAAAATGAGTGCTCAATGAAAGTTTATTGAATGAAAAAAGTTGTCAACAAATCCAATCTGAATACCTATGTAAGGATTAAAACAGCAGTATACATTTAATTTATACCAAAATATCATAAAATATAACAATGTATATTTATTTGTATCTTGGCATGTAACCCGAAACACAAATATGACATTACAAAACTAGTGTATAGTGTGTACCTGTGTTCAAAAGCACAGTGTGTTTGGAGAATAATCACTTAGAGTTATAAAACAGCATTGATAGCATTTACAAAAAAATCTTAAATATCTCAGAGACACAAATATGAAATGAGAAAAATCTAGATCTTTCTCAAGAAATACATCTCCAATCACAAGATAAACATAAAATTTTATCTTGTCATATTAAAATAATTTTCAAATGCTGAGTCTAAAAAATAGTATCATGTTAATTGTGAAAAAAGACAATGATCAAATATGAAAAAGCTTACGTTTCACAACGATTTCCTGCTATAGTTACTTTTGCTGAATACCATTCTTTCAAATGTTTTAATGCTCCTATAGCAGGTAAACAGTCTTTCCATTTAGGAGAATTTTTGTCAGAAGGCAATAGTATTATATCTATCATTGCTCTACCTAGAAAGAGAAAAAGGCATTTTCATAGTTAAAAAAAAGTTAGATTTGAAATGTCTCAAAATAGTGCCCTGAACAACTGAATTTACTTAGAAAATAAAGGAGAATTTTAAGTTTAATTTCTGAAATTCTTTCAAACAATACACATCTATAGGAATTCAAAATTCCAAAGTGTTCATTTGATTTAAAGGTGTATTATCTTGAAATAGCTGGCATGTGCTAAAAATGATGACCTATATCATAATTACTTGCCAAGTCTGCAGCAGTAGTTAATTATATGCATGTCTCTTAACAAAGGAAAAAGAAAATCTGTGCAATTTTATATTTTCCCACACTGAATTTTATCACCCAAAAGCAATGATTTAGTATAAAATTATATTGTTCAAATAAATGACTTCTCTTTTAACAGGACAATAAAATACTCAGAAAACGCATCATACTGACATCACGGGATCCTGAGGAAGGAAAACTCACAACATTTTGAATTTCATAGAATTATAAATTTACTCAAGCACCAGAAAAATCAAAATGAAACAGAAACCAGGCTCGGTGCCCATAGCACAGTGGTTACAGCACCAGTCACATACACGGAGGGTAGTGGGTTCAAACCCAGCCTGGGCCAGCTAAACAACTGCAACAAAAAAATAGCCAGGCATTGTGGCAGGTACTTGTAGTCCCAGTTACTTGGGAGGCTGAGGCAAGAGAATCACTTAAACCCAAGAGTTTGAGGTTTCTATGAGCTTTGATGTCATGGCACTCTAC